ATGTATACCTGGATACCACCACCTGTAGTGTAAAGTAGTGTACTGTAGTTTATTAAATAAAATAAAACCACTGAAGTAATGTTAATCCTGTAAGCATATGTTTTAGTTATACTGTTGTGAGTTTCATATAACCATCCTTGATATGACCTAGTGACCTCCACGACGTTCTTTAGGCGTCTGAAAGTTATGACATTTGTCATCCCAGGCTTGCCGGTCTACAATATAGGATTTAGTTCCATACCCTGAGGGCTACAATTGAAGTAGTGCCTTACAACCCTGTATTAACTAATTTATGTGTAGTGTTGTAGTGTTCTCTTGTACTAGAATATGTATGTATTGCCTTGTAATAATGTACTTTGTAATGTAAAATAATTATTTTAGAAGCGTATACTTGTATCAATGTATTAGAGTAGTACTTCCCAAACTATACCTACTATAGTTTGAATAGATGCTCTTGTTCTGAGTAAAGTAGTGTAGTGATTCCTAAACCCTACCAATTATAGCTTAACTGTAATGTCTTGTAGTGTACTTAAAACGTTTGCAATTTAATTGTATGAAATTATAACACCCTTATGCTCAACATGTTGCAAAAGGGTTAAAATATAAGAATATTTTTATGAAATGTAGCGAATACTTGGGTCTGAATCGATTGCAAATGTTTTAAAACTGTTTAAAAATGCTTGCATAAACACGAAGTCCTTGTGTTTTACTTGTATCCTCCCCCTAAAAACATTAAAAACGTTGAAAATGTAGGGGTATGAACTCACATGTAGTATGTGTTTGTGTAAGAATAACAGTGCTGTAGAGATGATCCTCGGATTGAGGTGCGCGAAATTAACGGTATCCTAATAATAGTTAAACACATAATCATATTTAAATTGGTGAAACCATTAATTAAAGTGTTAGAAAACATTTTTTGTGTTAGGAATAATTACCGAGAATTGTATAAGTGTTGAAGAGAGTTTTCGGTTCCACGGGGATTCTTAGCCGAAAACGGTTCTCGGTCCTGGGTGTTTTCGGTCACTTGATGATTTGAAGGATGTTCTTGGTTGAAATATGAAGATTTGAAGATTTTCACTTGAAGATATGAATGTTCTTGGATGATCCTTAGGAGCAAAATGAGAGTGTTTTTGAGTGGAAATGTGAAAAAATGACTAAGTTTTCGAGAATATATACACACACACACACGGTTGGGTTTTCGGCCGGAAAAGAGATTTCAGCCGAAATCAGTTTTTGGTCCGAAGGTTTTCAGCCGAAAAGGGTTTTGGTGTGAGGGTTTTCGATTCTGACGGGAAAGATGTTGATTTTCGAGTTCTTTTGATTCCGAAAACTTATATAAACATTATTTATATAATTTAAATTATTTTCTAACCCTCATGGACTTAACAAAATAAATAAAACTTGAAATTTTATTAATTGGATTTGACTTGAAATAAATAAAACTTGTTAGAGGAAACAAGGTAACTTCTTGTGTAATTATGTTCTTTTATTTTGTTTTAAAAGTTTTAAACTCCTCTTTGATTCTGCGATTCGAGTCTTTGAAACTAATATTAATGTTTTTGGACTCAGAGAAAAGAATCAGGTACCTTTGAGCTCTCTGAGAAGGAAAAACGTTTTGTTAGTCAAACATCTCAACCAAAGAGACTATTCATTGTTATTGATTAAATCATTAATTCCATTATGAATTAACTTAATTTCTTATAGAGTGTTTGGGATTCTAGATTTGCAAGTGGCTTTTTTACACCAGAAGCTTAAATATTGGGATCAATATGGAGTTGTACCTGCCGATTGCCATTCTATGATGTGATTATGATTTTTTCATACATGAGATCGCATGACAAAACTTTTTTGGAAAGTGGTATAAAGGAAATTAAAAAATATCAGATTATACAATATTGAGTTCAATCATTTATGTAGGTCATTAAATGTTGAATTCTTACTGGATTTCCTGGTTACATGGTCTACTCTTTCATGCATTGATTCGTTTTTTTTTTTCTCTCTTTTGATTGATAAAGTTTTTATGAGAAATTTTTATGTAAGTCCAAAGTGCAAGAGCCCTCAATATGAAGATGAGCATAATGTAAATGTATTGCTTTTATGGGTAATGTGTTGTAAGTACGTTGCCATCGTGTAAAATTCTGTGATTTTGAAATTTTTTATGTAATGATTTCATTAGGTACTACGAATTAGAACGAGATCATTCCTTCAAAGGTTTGATTTTATTAAAGGATTCGAGATTGATTTACCTTGGGTGTGGCTGTAGCCATTTGAATTGAAATTCACACATAAGAGTTTAAGCCCTTTCATCTGATAGTAAATATTTAAATAAATTTTTATAATTGTTAAACAGGAAAGAGTGTTATTTTCATATGACTTTTTTACTTACAAACGAACGCTCGTAACTTCAGGTACAAATAAAAGATAAATGTGCTTTATGAGAATAGACAATTTATAAAAATTGTTGCGTTAATTGGATGGTTGTGTCTAATCTGTTTATTAAAAGTCGTTTCATAAATATGGGTTAAAAATATTAGCGTGTTAATTTTCATTTTTTTCATGTAAACGATTGTGAAAATTTTAAAGATAAGTAGAATTCTTTCAAAATAGAAAAAACATGTAATTTGGTGGAGAAATCTAAACACATGCATTTGCTCGTATATTCAAAATACATTGTAAAATTAGTTTATACTAATAATTATATAGTTACTGATAAAATATCTAAGCCTCTAAAAATAATTGTAGCAAATATGTTATTAATTATAACGCCTAATAACTTTTAATGTTGTTTTACATTATCCCCGTATAGTACTATACGAGTTATAATCTAGTTTCTAATTACATAGTAAGGTCACAAGCCATTTGATAAAGGTACCTTACATGCGCTTAAACAGTAAAGACATAATTACTTATAGGGAAAATAACTTAAAAGTCCAACGAAGTTTCCAAACCGTTTAAAAAATTCCAATCATGTTTTATCTGTTAAAAAAACCCAACAAACTTAACATTTTATCTAAAAAGCCCAACTAAGTTACACTTTCTCGAAAGTCAAATAAGAGAAACAAATGACGTGGCTTATTACCGTATCGGAAAAATGACTTGTTAGACCAACGAAGTTTGCAAAACGTTTCAAAAACTCCAATCATGTTTTGGCTGTTCAAAAAAACCCAACGAACTTAAACAAAACAAAATTGAAATTTTCTGAACGGTTTGAAACTTTGTTGGACTTTTTAGACAAAATGTTAAGTTCGTTGGGTTTTTTTAAACACACAAAACATGATTGGGGTTTTTTGAATGGTTTGGAAACTTCGTTGGGCTTTTAAATCATTTTCCCTTACTTATATGTAAATTGTTATAGTTGTACGCTTTTATTTAGTTAACTAGAAATGTAACCCCCGCGGGGTAAGAAGGTTTTGTCGTTCTTTGTTGTTTTGTTTTCTTAACGGATGAATATGCGAACAGAGTAATTAATATAGATAAAAAGACATTCATTCATCGATGGATGGTTTTACAAAACAGTAGCAACTGATGATTACAAAAGACTGGATTTCAAAATAGTAGGAGTGATATTAGATGCTGGCGGCATATCCCCATGGTTGTTATGGTGTTGGGTGGTCATCGATGATTTTTCTTGCATGTCATGTTCTCCTGCAACATGTCGAACATGTTGAGCATTAGGATTGTGTCCTTGTCGAGGTCACTGATAACGGTTTCCGTGATTACAATGTGCCTATATGGAAGATCCACCATGATTTCCTGTAGTAGATTCTGCCCCGATCTGTTGATGCTGTTGTAGGTGTTTTGAACTTCGCCCAACGATTGCTTCATTGTTTCGAGTTGTTGGAGCAGGTTCTGCATGATGGTGTCCATGTTGTGTGTGTGGTGTTTGGTGGTAGGGCCGGTGGGTTTGTAGTATGGATATATAGGGGATCATTGTAGTTGTTGGATGGCATTAATTATGCTAAGTTCATTGATCTTCTGGGAATTCAGAGGTGTAGATGTAATTTAAGGGTATGGATGTGGTAATTAATTCTACATGCAGTTTGTGGTGGTTGTGAATGACTTGGGCACCTGGTCAGAAAATCTGGGAATATCTCATGTATTTAAATTCGTCCATTTTGTTTGATGACCATTATATAATAATGTTGATGTTTGCATTTAGTATTTTTTTTGTTTGATTGGAAGAAGCTTCCTTTTATTTGTCATTTTGTAAAAATCTATGGTCATATAATGATGTTCATCTTTGGTTAGCCAATATAATTAGTCGTTCGGATTATATACACTCCAACCATCATTTAAAGAAAAGTTCGTGTTTATCAAGCAGAGAAGAACGATATTCATGCAAAAGCTACGTGTTTGTTATGGTTTTTTACCTAAATAAAAGGTGGATTTTTCAGTCCTTGTCCATTAAGTTTGTCACAAAACATTAATATATTGCCCAAAATAAAACATCGATTATATGGTCGTTGGCTATGATGCCAACTATTTTGTGGATCGCTTTGGAGTTGTTGTTGGTGCCGGGTCTATCAGATGGAAGGGAAAATGACTTAAAAGCCCAACGAAGTTTCCAAATTATTCAAAAAACCCTAATCATCTTTTGTCTGTTCAAAAAAACCCAACAAACTTAACATTTTGTCTAAAAAATCCAACAAAGTTTCAAACCGTTTAAAAAATTCCAATTTTGTTTTGTTTAAGTTCGTTGAGTTTTTTTTGAACAGTCAAAACATGATTGGAGTTTTTTAAACGTTTTGGAAACTTCGTTGGTCTAACAAGTCATTTTTCCGATACGGTAATAAGCCACGTCATCTGTATCTCTTATTTGACTTTCGAGAAAGTGTAATTTAGTTGGGCTTTTTAGATAAAATGTTAAGTTTGTTGGGTTTTTTTGAACAGATAAAACATGATTGAGGTTTTTTAAACGGTTTGGAAACTTCGTTGGGCTTTTAAGTCATTTTCCCCAGATGGAAATTGCAAATTGTTAGTATGTATTTGGAAATTTTATCATTGCATTTTATATTGTCATATGTGCCTTTACCTGTGGGATTGTAGGTGAGAGTACGTCGAACATGTTGAGCGGGCGTGGATGATGCTGAGGTGCGGTCATTTGGTCGGGTCCTTGTCATTCGTGGTTGAGCTGGTGTTGTTGGGATAGGCGTTTCCTATGTGGTTGTTGGGTCCTCGATGTCTATTATTATGAATCGAATGCTCTCGGGAGCGGATGTTCTAAGCATTTGGATGGACATCGTTCTTGGTTTTCCTTTGTGATCAGTGATGATTGAGGGCAGATTGTTTCTGTTTATTAACGGGTTGTTGGATATAAAATTTTCAAGTGACGACTTTAACAGCTTTCTACATGATGTCTCGGATATGGTGTCCGTATCGCCAGTGATGGTGACTGTGAATTTGTATCTACATAAAGGAAGAGGCTGTAAGGACGCTAGTTATAGAGTAGTAAGCTTTTGTTTTTTGGAAAAGATTGTTACGTGTATGTTGGTCTTTCGATCAATGCGTGTGCGCTGCAGTACCACTTTTCACCTCTTTTGAAGATTGGATCCTTGCAGGTTAGACATGTAGTTTGGTACCAACTGTTTTGAAAGTGAAAATCCTTCATTGAAGCTCGAACAATGAATGTTTTATCCTATACACATAAACGAATTGTTTGTGGGTGTGTAAAGGGGATCGTATCTGTAAAAACCAATGTTATTAGTATGACGTTACCAGTAGATCGGATTTGTTTCTGACCTTCATGCTGTATAAGGTAGAAGGTGTCCCAGATAGTGGCGGAAGTGGCCTCGAATGTCCTGGAAATCTGTAGTGATGTTGGTGTTAGCATAGGGTAGTAGTCGTATGGTATACATGAAATTTTTTCTATTTTATATGACTTACAGGTTAATGAGAGATGTTGTTTCCTGTATATCTGGGTTGACATAGACATGTGTGGCGTGCGATGAGCCATGGCGTAATAATGAGAGATGTTGTCTGCCTTTTGATAATAATGCATTAGTAATGTATGTCACTATTCATGGTAATAGGCTGTCGTTGCACGAGCTGCTATTTTAAAAGGGATATATTTGTAATTTGCATCTTGTTGTATACTAGATGCAAATGTACCATATATTAATTGTAATTTTTTTAAATAACATAAAATAAAATATAAATAAACCAGGTTTTGAATTTCCGTGAATTTTTTAAACAAAAAATCTGGTTGTTTTATAAAATGAAGGAATCATAATTAATAATTCTGTTTTACCAGTCATTGTTTGTGGAAAATGGAAAATGTGGAAACTACTTTCATTTTATTTATTTTTGGAGGTAACTTACAAATCTGTCTATGGCCAGGTCTCGTATTGCCAGACATCAGTTCAGAGATGGTTGTCACGACCTGCTTGTGTATTCTAATACAAATAAACGTGTAGAGATAAGTGGTTTTTTATATGAAAAATGAAATATTCTAAAAATATGTAAAATATGCTGGAACAACAAACAGCCAAAAACAGATATGAAATAAAGAAATGGTGATAAATGGTGTAATGGGTAATGATACTGTAGACCTCGGTTGAAGTAAAATTTTGCTGTAAATCTTTGAAGACAACATTTTTTGTCATTTGTGTTCCATTGTGTCAGCGCTGTTTATTAGTATTTTTATGGAATCTGGAGACGTTGCTCGGGATAGGGCTACATAAAGCCATCCGTGCGCAAACACGGGTTGTGACAAATAAATCCCAATTCTATGCAACGATTGGCCCTGAATCTTGTTGATGGTCATTGCGTAGCAAAGTTTAACTGGAAACTGTTTTCGCGAAAAGATGAATGGCAAATCTGACAACTTGTGTATGAATTTTATGCGTGGTATATATGCACGTTTTCCTATGGAAGTCCCGGTTATGATGGTTGCCACGATAACGTTTGGTAACAATTGGGCCGGAGACAATCAGTCGGGTACCGTTACATAAACCTTCTCTCTGATTTATGTTTCTTAATAGCATTATCGGACAATGTACCTTAAGTGCAAGCTCGTGTGGCGGTATTCCTGGAAAGGTAAGTTGGTTTAGGTATTCGATTGGATACATGCCTTCCAAATCTGATGTATGTTTTCCATTAGGCTGCATCATGTCCATGCTGTTGTATGTCCTACCAACAGTTGTTACCATTTTTAAAATATGGGTGTTTATCTCATCGGCTGAATCATTTGTGGGAGAAACTATTACCCTAACTGAAAGGTGTGTGGCTGTCGGGTCATCGAGTGAACCATCCCCATAAATGAAATCTGTTAATGTTTGTAAGGGATCAGTGGCCTTATCTGTTGTTCGATTATGTCAGAATCGAGACTAACGGCCTTATCTGGGATTTGGGTCGTCAACGTATGTAAATAGTCATCTTTCATCTTATCGCAGGCGTTTTCCCACAACAAAAGAGGATTGCTTACTTCACAGAAAAGAAGTAGGTGGCAAAATAGTGATCGTAACTATGATGTAGTTGCCCAAACCGAAGCTTCTATGAAACAGGTTAACCATTCAATATCGTCACCTATCAATCCAAGTGCATTACAGGTAGCCCTAAATGTCGGGTAAACGGTACCAGCTACAGTACGCGATGTACATCCTTTTTGGTGACATAGTAGCATCCGTAAGTAGAATAATTCACCGGACGTAGGATGTACAAATACAAGCTAGCCTACCATTTTTGATGACTCATGAACTCTTAGACCCCCATGACTTAGATTGTTTATCCCATCTGTAACGATTTAGGACATTCTAGATATGTATGACCTTGTGTATCCTTTGAATTGCTTTCAAACCATTCAAGTAGGGTAGTTATGCTAGCATATGGATTAGAAAGCACTTTAGGTATGGAGTTGTTCCCGCTGAAGACCAATTGTTGCATGTTTTCTTCATGTACAGTAAGCACCTGGACAGGTTGGTGGCGATGGTGTATATGAAAGTCAAAAATCCGCCAGGCTGCCTCGTGTCTAAAAAATTCTGGACCTCATTTATAGGTCGAACATCTTTGTTTTGCAATTCAGCATCAGCGGCAGTGGACGTTGAAGAAGATGATTGAGTGGGAGATTCTGCCCTTTAGATAGTGTATCTTACGCCGGTCAGCTCCTTTGGAAATATATTTAAAAAGATACTTAATCATCATACTCCAGCCGCAATATTCAACATTGATATGTGCACGGAATCGCGAACAATGTCTTTTGTTATAGGGAACAACATATCCACTGTCTATAATCTGCAATAATGGAGAATTACAACATATTAACAGTTAATGTATTATTCTGTGTAAATCATACGATAACTATAAATTTAGATTGATATTGTAATATACGGGGAAATGAAAATGTGGCATGTTCAATGGAATATAGATGAAGAAACAACAATAAAAAAAGAACATTAAAAACCATATGTAGTCCGAGCTGGTATCATATGTAATGTCAGTTGGTTTTTGGAAAAAAGTTACGTAGTCTTACATAATATGAGGAGAACATGAATGTTGGCAACAGATAAAATGGAACTTAAAAAAAGTTAACAAAAAGAATGCTGAAATTTAGTAGGTACCAATAAAGATCCATAGCTTATGACATGGAAATTGTAAAAACATATATGGACATGGGTAGTTTTGGAAAAAATTTACATAGTGTTACATATGAAGCGAACATGAATGCTAAGGGACGACTTTTTAGGAAAATATCTAAGCAATGTATAAAGATCCATACCTTATAACAGAAGAATTGTAAACACATATACGGACATGGGTGGTTTTATAAAAGATTATTTCCTTACAGAAATTTGGGGTATATTAACAAATAATGAAAATGTAGTTGTAGAGATTTAGAAAATTAGAACTCGTTTCATCAAATTTCATCGAAATAATCAAAATATAAAGTATTTTATTATGAAATCATTATGTTTAAAAAAGTATGTTTGAATAATTATATATTATATAAGATTAATTTCAGATAACTACTTTAATGAGTAACGACCATTATAACAAAAAATGATTACCTGCTTTTATAGCATTTGTCACAATGTGACTGTTGTTAGTTCCGAGATGAGAGTAGAAAATTCACATAACTTATAAACATCCATAGCTTATAACGGACAAATTCTAATAACATATATGGATAGGGATAGTTTTGGAAAAAATATATACAGTGTTACATATGTAGAGAACATGGCATGTTTGAAAGTGCATATAAACTCTTACATATCAAAACTACTCATAAAAACAAACTCCTTACAGAAAATTGGAGTATATTAACGAATAATGAAAATCTAGATAGATTTACTGCTGGCAAATAAAAGAGGGATCCATAACAGAAATGACAGATTAGAAAATCTTTTTTAGAAAGATATTACAGCATCTTTTTTAGAAAAAATTTACATAGTCTTACATATGAAGAGAACATGAATGTTAAGGGACATATATGGACATGGGGTAGTTTTGGAAAAAATTTACATAGTTTAATTGATGGCAAGAAACATATGTTGGCAGGGGTAGTGACATTTGGAAATGCATATAAACTGTTTCATATGAAGAACATGAATGTTAAGGGACATATATGGACAGGGGTAGTTTTGGAAAAAGCTTACATAGTCTAATCGATGGTAAGAAACATATGTTGGCAGGGGTAGTGATCTTTGGAAATGCATATAAAATGTTTCATATGAAAATTAGTCATAAAAGCAAACTCCTTACAGAAAATTCGAGTATATTAACAAATAATGAAAATTTAATTGGATCTATTGCTGGGAAATAAAAGGCTGATTCATAACCCAGATGACATATTAGAACAAGTTTTTTAGAAAGATATTATAGTAGGTCCATATGATAATAGGGCTGGAACATAATATTGTAAAATAATATAGGTTTACATATGAATAGAAGAAAGATTTGTAAACATATATGATCTCCTTAAAGTGAATATATATTATATAACATTCATAGTTGAACAAAAAGGAAAAAATACACATAGCATGATATGTAAAATACATTGGAAAGGGGCGGAAAATGGAAAACATACATGCCTCAACGCCGCCAAACGTTTTGTCCTCTTTAATAAATCGAATAAACTCATGAACTTTAATGTTGAAGATCCTAGCAATAATATTTGCTCTACTGTGGACATCTGTTTGCTGATGTGTCTCCATATAGCGGGTTTTCTCCATATAGCGGGTTTTCTCCAGCCACTTAACACTACATGTAAACGTGATAAAGTATCGTGGGTTGCCGTAGACCCTACATATGGAGAGAGCATCTAGATAATGACCATACATGAACCGGGGCCCACCGGTAAACGACGCAAGCAAAAAAACATGCTTCCCAACTACAACAGCCTCCCTATCTCCCTTTGAAAGTGCGTCATAGAGGCCGCTGACATAATCCGAACGTATATCCGATTAGTGCCGGACAATGTAATCCAAATGGCTTTCTTCTATACATGTATACGTGTCAACCAAATACTGTTGGAAGAGTCTAGATGAGTTTAATATGGGTGGCCAAATATGTTGAGGGGTATGGATGTGATACGCATAATACATATTTGCAGCGAGATTTTTAGCGAAAGCCCCTCTCTTATTACCGAGTTTTAACCGGGGTGACCAACCTTCCTCACCATATGGAAACAAAAGTGGGTACTGTAATGGCATATAGCTTGGATGCAGTTTACTGATACGTTGCGGCCTACCCGATTGTGAATGGATAATGATGTAATATGTGGTACACGTTGTGTCATCGCCAGTTACTATACAAGCCAAAGACCCTGGTGATGGTAAATCATACCTACGGTCCTGAACGTTATTAAACAGTCACACTGCATATGAGTCTAAATTAGTTTCTTCAGCTAGCTGTTTTGCATTCTTGAAGGCCCGTACATATCCGTTATTAGCTCCCAAAAAGTCAACCAGGAAGTTGACAATATCAGAATCCAAAGACCCCCATGTGGGATCAGAAAAAGCCCTCAATCTGTCTTGTACTTTGTTTTCAGTATCAAACAGGTAAAGCTGTAGAAACCTAGGATCTTTTGCAGGATCCGGAGAGAGCGACCCAATCTTGTGACAAATTTGACCCGAAATTTTAAAAACATAAGGACCACGGTTGTAATTCATATCGTCATCCACATTTGCCCCAAAGAAGTCATGGAAAACATACTATTATATGTTAAAGTAATTCAGTTTATTTTAATTTGTTTTATGCACGTTTTAGTAGAAGTAGTAGAATAATTCAAAGTCACTAAGTCCTAGTCTTTGGCTTAGTGGAGTTAGCTCCGTTTTTTCTGCAAGTTTTTTTCTTTAAGTAGCATGGCAAAATGTACGTTGTAATCATCCCTAATTTTACTTTGAAATAAAAACACAGAAGCATTTTGCCTCAATCTTCCCTACGTTTTCCTCCTGTACACTGGGTCTTATTCCCTGAAAAGCTTGTGAAAAGCTAGCTAGTTCCAACAGAGTGGTATCAGAGCACAACCTGGTGCATGCCCAAGTATCAATCTCGTGAAGAGATGACAGGAAATTCAGGGAATAGCAATGGTCAGAAAGAAGGGCAATTGACACTCCATTATCCGATGCTGTCTAGAGATAATTATGCAGCTTGGGCGATCAAGATGAGAGTGTTCATGCTGGCTCAAGGAGTATGGGATGCAGTCGAGCCACGAACATCAAACACAGTTGTAGATCCAAAAAGGGACATGATGGCCTTGGCAGCGATATACCAAGGTATCCCTGAGGATTTGTTGCTGTCCCTATCGGAGAAAAAGTCGGCAAAAGAGGCGTGGGATGCCTTGAAGATGATGTTTTTGGGAGCAGACAGAGTAAAGACAGCACGAATTCAAACTTTAAAAACAGAGTTTGATGCGTTAAAGATGAAAGAATCGGAGGGGATAGACCAGTTTACTGTGAAAGTAAACAGTATTGTGAGCACGATACGAGCATTGGGTGATACAATTGAAGAATCGTATGTAGTGAAGAAGCTATTACGAGCAGTCCCGTCCAAATTTCTTCAAATTGCATCCACCTTGGAACAATTTGGAGACCTGGAGACGATGACGGTCGAAGAAGTCGTAGGTCGTTTAAAGGCCCATGAAGAACGAATGAAAGGGCATGAAGAGAAGGATGATCGAAAGTTACTTCTCACACACCAAGAATGGTCCGAAAGATACAAGAAAAAGTTAGATGACGACTCCAAGTTTAGAGGGAATCGAGGGAACTCACGAGGAAAAGGCAGAGGTCGTGGCAGAAGTAGTAATTTCGGTGGTCGAGGTGGCCGTGGACGAGGAAATTACCACATCCAGAGAGAAGGCCAACGTGGAGCAACAAGCAATCAAGACAAAAGTAAGGTCCTGTGCTATAATTGCCAAGAACATGGGCATTATGCGACTGAATGCAAAAATCCCAGAAAAGAAAGAACACAAGAAAACAATTTGATCCAAGATCATGTAGAGAACGAGCCTGCTCTGTTGTTGGCTTCACTTGAAGTAAAGAAAGAAATAGGAGAAGTGTTCTTGAATGAAGAGAAGGTAAATCCACACCTGAAAGGGAAGGGAGATGAACAACGTCAATCAAATGTGTGGTATTTGGATTCAGGGGCAAGCAATCATATGACCGGTGACAAGAGTAAATTCAGAGAATTAAACAAGATGATACAAGGTTATGTACGTTTTGGCAACGAGTCTAGAGTTCGAATTGAAGGAAAGGGGTCAATTGTATTTCAATGCAAGAATGGAGATCAAAGAAAGCTTCAGGAGGTGTATTACATACCAGATTTGTGTAGCAATATAATAAGTCTTGGTCAATTATCTGAAGGAGGTGATGAGATCAAGATAAAGGAACCATTTCTATGGGTTCGTGACAAGGGGGGTAGATTGATGATGAAGGTGCCTAGAACTCAGACTCGATTGTACAAGATTGAACTAGAGGAGGTGAGTTCGTCGTGTCTAGTTGCTGAACTCACAGATCCAACGTGGCTATGGCACACGAGAATGGGGCATGTCAACTTTAGAGCATTAAAAGAGATGTCAGACAAGCAATTGGTTGAAGGAATGGCAAAGATAAACATTCCAACACAACCGTGTGAAGGATGCTTGGTGGGAAAACAGTCAAGGAAGCCCTACCCATCACATACAAATTACAGAGCATCGAAGAAACTAGAGCTCATACATGGTGATTTGTGTGGACCCGTTACACCTCCCACACCTGCTGGCAACAGGTACTTCATGTTACTTGTTGATGACTTTAGTAGAGTAATGTGGGTGTATTTGCTAAGAACCAAAGATGAAGCCTTTCAAACTTTTAAAAATTTCAAGGCAAAAGTGGAAACTGAAACAGGGGAGAAGATAAAGGTGTTGAGGACGGATTGTGGTGGTGAGTTCTCGTCAAATGAGTTCACTAGATTCTGCAATGAAAATGGCTTAGAGCGTCATTACACATCCCCATACTCTCCACAACAGAATGGGGTTGTGGAGAGATGAAACCGGACGATTTTGGAGATGGTGAGGAGTAATCTGAAGACTATGAATGTACCAGAAGTACTGTGGGAGAGGCTGTGAACCATGCGGTGTATGTCTTGAACAGGATCAACACCAAAGCTCTCGATGACTCAACACCTTATGAGATGTGGACTGGCCGAAAACCACATGTTGGGCATCTTTGAATCTTTGGGTGTGTTGCACATATGATGATTGCAAAGAATCATCTAAATAAATTAGATGAAAGAAGTAAGAAGGTGGTACATTTGGGAATTGAGAAGGGATCAAAGGCGTATCGGTTATTGGATCCTGATACAGGGAAAATGTTTGTAAGCAGGAATGTTGTGTTTGAAGAAAATCAAACATGGACATGGGAGAAGACAACAAAGATCAGACATGTGCCTGGCTTACCCTTCACCGTTGCTGGTTTTGACTCTGCTGAGGTCAACATTGACGGTGATGAGAATTATGAAGATGGGTCTGAAAACCCAGATGAATTAAATAATTACCGGCCACCAGATAATGAAGACTGGAGTATGAATGAATCGGAGCCCACCACTCCCAATACAGGCCCACTTGAAGAACCCCTAAATTCACAATCAACGTCAAATCCTCCATCGACCCCAAATTCTCTGATAACACCAAATTCTCCAAACTCATCGGCAAATCAATCGAGCACGGCGTCTAGTTCAACAGGTGGTGGAGCCCCGAAACGTTATCGCCTTCTCACGGACCTATATGAAAGCACAGTGCCAATGACCGCAGAAGAAATAGACCAATTGATGTTAGTCCAAGATGAAGAGGAGCCCACATCGTACCATGAAGCAAAGAACAAACGAGAATGGGTGAAAGCGATGGAAGCAGAGATAGAATCGATAGAAAAGAACAAGACATGGAGTCTAGTCGAACTTCCAAAGGATCGACGACCGATCGGCTTGAAGTGGATATTCAAGGTAAAGCGAGATCCAGCAGGGAAGATCATAAAGCACAAGGCAAGGGTTGTAGCAAAAGGGTATGTGCAGAAGCATGGAGTAGATTATGAAGAGGTATTTGCACCGGTAGCTAGAATAGAAACTGTTCGAGTGATTTTAGCTCTTGCCAGTGCAAATGGGTGGAAGGTCCATCATCTCGATGTGAAGTCAGCATTCTTGAATGGAAAGCTGGAAGAAGAAGTATATGTAGTACAGCCAGAGGGATTCGAGAAGAAAGGTCAGTCTGGTAAGGTATACAAACTATCAAAAGCCCTATATGGGTTGAAACAGGCGCCAAGGGCATGGAACGCCTGCCTTGATAGTTATTTGAAGGAGTTGGGATTCAAGAGATGTTTACAAGAGTATTCAGTTTATACAAGAAAAAAAAGGAGGGAACACATTAATTGTGGGTGTGTATGTCGATGATCTCTTGGTCTCAGGAAGCTGCAACTCAGATGTAAAGGAATTCAAGCTAGAGATGAAAGCTAAGTTCGAGATGAGTGATCTTGGTCTATTGACTTATTACTTAGGAATCGAAGTCAACCAACACAGTACAGGAATAACATTGAAACAAGAGGCTTATGCAAAGAATCTCTTAAGCAAGACTCGAATGTTGGATTGTAATGCCACAAGAACTCCAATAGAGCACAAGATAAAGTTAAGCAAGAATGAAGAAGGAGAACTGGTTGATCCTACTGAATACAGAAGCATTATAGGTGCTCTAAGGTACCTAACTCACACTCGTCCCGATCTCTCGTTTTCAGTAGGGGTAGTAAGTAGATTTATGGAGAAACCAACAATCAAGCATCTCCAAGTTGTAAAAGGAATACTTAGGTACATAAAGGGTACCTTAAATTATGGCTTGACTTACACCAGAAGTGAAGGTAAAATCACCCTTATAGGGTACTCTGACAGTGATTTTGGAAAAGATATGAATGATGGGAAAAGCACAGGTGGGACAACATTCTATATGAATGGGAATCTGGTAACATGGGCATCACAGAAGCAACAAAGTGTAGCTCTATCGTCATGTGAAGCTGAGTTTATGGCTGCAACCACAACAGCCTGTCAAGGCATTTGGCTCCGCCGACTTCTAACTGATATAACAGGATAAAAAGTACCACCTGTGACTCTCTTTGTTGATAATCATTCAGCCTTAGATTTGATGAAGAATCTGGTTTTTCATGGGCGTAGCAAACACATAAACATAAGGTATCACCTTATTAGAGAGTGTGTTGAAAATGGGGAGATTTTTGTGAATCATATATGTGGCACAAAGCAAAAGGTTGATATTCTCACAAAGACAATGGCAAGGATCAAGCACGAAGAAATGAGGGACCTGATTGGAATAAAACCAATCACAAACACTGAATTAAGGGGAGAATGTTAAAGTAATTCAGTTTATTTTAATTTGTTTTATGCACGTTTTAGTAGAAGTAGTAGAATAATTCAAAGTCACTAAGTCCTAGTCTTTGGCTTAGTGGAGTTAGCTCCGTTTTTTCTGCAAGTTTTTTTCTTTAAGTAGCATGGCAAAATGTACGTTGTAATCATCCCCAATTTTACTTTGAAATAAAAACACAGAAGCATTTTGCCTCAATCTTCCCTACGTTTTCCTCCTGTACACTGGGTCTTATTCCCTGAAAAGCTTGTGAAAAGCTAGCTAGTTCCAACATTA